TTAGAGAAATGGTTTGGAGTACCTGCTACAGATTATGATTATTTACATGTGTTTGGTTCCACTGTATACTACCATGTTAAGGAGTCAAAGCTGGATACAAGAGCAAAGAATGCGATCTTTATGGGGATCACCTCTGGTGTGAAAGGCTATCGTCTTTGGTGTCCAGAAATAAATAAAATAATCTTCAGCAGAGATGTTACATTTGATGAATCTACCATGTTGAGAAAGGTGACTTCAGAAAAATTGGAGCAGACAGATGGAACTCCCAAACAGGTGGAGTTTGAAGGAAGTGGAATTGACCCAGCCAATAAAGGAACTGATGATGACTCTCCTATAGTAGAAGAAGAGTCAGATGAAGAAGAGGTTCAAACCCAAGAACCTCCACAGTAATATGAATCAATTGCACTCAGAAAGGGAAAGAGAACCATTAGACAACCTGCTCGTTATGCTGATATAGTCTCTTTTGCATCACCAATTACAATTGATGATGTTCCTGCCACTTTTAATGAAGCAATCCAAAGTTCAGAACATAAAAAGTGGAGGATCGCCATGAATGAAGAAATGCAATCCCTTCAAAAGAATCAGACGTGGAAACTAGCTAGTCTTCCGAAGGGAAAGAAGGCAATTGGGTGCAAGTGGGTATATGCAAAGAAATATGGATTTCCTGATAAGAATAACATCCGCTACAAAGCAAGATTGGTGGCTAAAGGCTACGCTCAAACGAAGGGAGTTGATTATAATGAAGTATTTTCTCCAGTTGTAAAACATTCCTCCATCAGAATTTTGTTGGCTTTGGTAGCACAGTTGGATTTGGAACTAGTTCAGATGGATGTAAAAACTGCATTTTTACATGGAGACTTGGATGAGGAAATCTATATGACTCAGCCAGATAGATTCAAAGTTGCTGAAAAAGAAGAAATTGTGTGCAAATTAGAAAAATCATTGTACGGATTGAAGCAATCTCCAAGGCAGTGGTACAAGCGATTTGACAAGTTTATGATAGGGCAGAAGTACACAAGAAACAAATATAATCATTGTGTGTATTTACGCAAGCTACAAGACGGATCATATATATATCTTATTCTTTATGTTGGTGATATGCTGATAGCTTCCAAGAGTCAGACAGAAATTGCGAAACTAAAGACTTAATTGAACATGGAGTTTGAGATGAAGGATCTTGGTGAAGCGAAGAAGATTCTAGGCATGGAGATATCAAGGGATAAGAAATTGGGGAGACTTTGTTTGTCTCAGAAAGAATATCTGAGGAAGGTACTAAAACGTTTTGGCATGAATGAGAAGTCAAAACCAGTTAGTACACCTCTTGCTCCTCATTTCAAGCTCAGTGCATCCATGTCACCTAAGGATGATGCAGAACGTGAATACATGTCAAAGGTTCCGTATGCAAGTGCTGTTGGTAGCTTGATGTATGCAATGGTGTGTATGATACCCGATATTTCACAGGCAGTTGGGGCTATGAGCAGGTATATGCATGATCCTAGAAAGGAGCATTGACAAGCTGTGAAATGGATTCTGCGGTATATTCTAAACACCGTAGATGTTGGTTTGGTCTTTCAGCAGGACAAGCAAGATGGTCAGTGTGTAGTTGGGTATTGTGATTCAGACTATGCAGGTGAGTTAGACAAGCGTCGATCAACTACTGGTTATGTGTTTACATTTGCAAAGGCACCAGTCAGTTGGAAGTCCACCTTACAGTCAACAGTGACTTTGTCTACTACAGAGACAGAGTATATGGCAGTTACAGAGACTGTGAAGGAGGCAATTTGGCTTCAAGGGTTGCTTGGTAAATTGGGAATGGAACAGAAGCACATCAAAGTGCATTGTGACAGTCAAAGTGCTATTCATTTAGCAAAGAATCAGGTTACCATGCAAGGACGAAGCACATCGATGTTCTATATCACTTTGTACGAGAGATTCTAGAAGAACGTGGAGTCATAATCCAGAAGATTCGGACCACTGAGAATTCTACTGATATGTTGATAAAAGTGGTAATTGCAGTCAAGTTTAAACATTGTTTAGACTTGGTCAATATTGTTACAAATTGAAATATGAATTTGCAGACACTACTGAAGATTGAATTTTTGAGAGATGTGTGTGGAATTTGCCAAGGTGGAGATTTGTTGGTTTTTTGGCAAAGTCTCACATTGGTTGTGTATAAGGAGGAGGGGAAATTCTTTTGTTATAAATAGAGCTATCCTCCTCCTTAGTTAAGCATCCCACAAATATAAGCTTCTTCTATATTAAAGGCTATTTGTATTATTTCTTTCTTTTTTTAATATTTCCTCTATTAGTGAAATATTATTTTAGTAGTGTTCGAGGAGGTAGGCATAATTTTGGCCTAACCTCGTTAAATTTTGGTGTTCTCTTTATGTCTATTTAATAGCTATTGTCAGGTATAGTTGTTGTTAATTATTGTCCTATTAAAATTACTTGTCTTGGTAGTTATGTCTAAGGAAAGTGGGTTTTAAGAGGGACCATTGTGACCCCTCTTCTTTTCTGGGAATCTACCTTGGTGTGATTTTTAGTACAATCGTTTTCACACTAGTCACTTAGATAATAGTTTTCAAGGTGAATTTGTTATTATTGGTTGAAATTAACCCGAATTCCACAACATAATGGAAGTCATCATCTTTTCTTTTCTTTTTCACGCATAGATGAGTAATCAAAGTGACAATTGGACTAATTTAATCAAAGTAACAATGTCGGAAGAACAACCAATCAATTAAATTTAGGTTATCGATTGGTTTTAATAACCTCTAATTCAGAAAAGACATTTCATGGAAAATAATCAATGTCTTGCTCGTTCTTTAAATCCCCAAAGTCCCATGAATGAAGGAAAATGCTTGAAGATAAATACAAATAACAAACATCAAATAAACTAATCTTTGGAACCATAAAACTTCACACGAGAATCAAATAGAAAACCTGCAAGGGGACCATAATGATTTCTTTTCTTCGGATAAAACCTACAGGTTTTGTACCAGACAATGCAGGCAATTTTTAGAACATCATCAGTCTCCATGCCGAAAGGAGATAATGATTTTTCTTCTTCAGGAAAAAAAAATGATACCATTTTCCCGATACCTAAAAAACAGAAATCATAGCATAATTATATTACCTCAGCGGATATGTATGTATATCCTTCCAGATTCCTCCCTCTGGTAATCTGCAGTCCTTGGATTGAAGTTTTCAGGATGAGAATGTGTTGCATGACGGGGTCGTTTTTCCAATGTACCAGTTCTTCATTTCATCACCGATCTATTGTTTAGCTAATAACGCATTGTTCAGGTTCGCCATCAAACCCAATCCACCTTCGGTTTTTAGCACGGCAAAGATTGCTCCAGTTTTTGACCCAACACAATCATAGCATCGCCCGTCACCGCTTTTTCATTTTTGCTACCGGCGACGTGGCATCGGACCCAACACAATGCTTCCAAATTAAAAAGAAATGAATATTCGAAATACGGGAAGCGTACACTTCAGAGACCCGTTTCAAATCAACCACACAACGTAACAAGCTTTCGAGGAAAAACCCCGCGCGGATTCCCGGCCAAGGATCGAGCAACCTAAGAACGCGAATCAGAGGGCTGACATTGGCGGATAGGAAAACGGGGATTTTCCATAGCTTGCTGCCGCTGCTGATTAAAGTCTTCCTCATTGGTATTTCGCTACACAAATCAAATACAATTATTCAAGAAAACCAAAGATAGTCTTCCTCCGTATTTTTTCTCTCGCAGTTATCATTTTCTTGAGCGGTTTTTAAATTTGCTGCCTTCATGGCAGCAACACCGCCTTGTAAATTTTAGTTATATTTTATATTATTTATTATAATAATACTCTTGGCTCTTTCTCTAGTAAATGATATCATAACTACTGATATATTTGGACTCTCGGTGTAAATTTTGTATTGGTTTTCTTCTCAGTTTTTCCCGTGTGATTGTTGCTTTCCCATGACATGGTTCATCTCTTCGGTTGTACAAGATGATTATTTGGTTATCGCATATATATGTCAGATGAGATTGCTGTTAAGATGAGATCCCTTTGTCCGTTGGCCTTTTTGATTATTATTCAAAAATTTTCTCGTTCATGTTTGATGCTTAGAATCGTTGGTGGGTTCAATTTATATACGTTGTTGCTTTACTTGTTCAGTCTGTAATTGACAATACATTTATTTTTTATAAATGAAATTTCATGGTTATTTTAAAAAAACCCAAAGATAAACCCTACAAATTTAATTATTTGGATGATGTGAAGAAAGTGATAAGCAGTTGTGATTTATGGAGAGCAATGAAGTCAAAACCCTAGAAACCTGGGAAATGGGCTCTGTAATTGAAGGCTATTCATGGGTTTAAAATGACCGGAAGGGGCTTTCGGGTTGTCGTGAATAGGCCCAATTGTTTAAAGAAAATTTTCTTTTTACAATACTTTCGTTTTCTTGAATAATCTGAACATATAACAATATAATATTTATTCAAAATATTTATTAAATCATTGACAATACATAAATATCATGTAGATGCAATGCTCAAATTTAAGTTTTCTAGTGAGAATAATAATCTCTTTAACCACTAAATTCACTTGATGAATTCCTCACCTAGTAATTTATAAATAAGCATCATAAGCCTTACAAAATTAAGATTTATATATAATTTCTACCATATAGTCTCTAAATTTGCTTTTTTTTTTGGGTGAAATAGAATTAGTACTATGTTATTGAAATTAATATATTTTGTATGGTTATGACATACAAGGAGTCGTCAAAATTAATAGTTGTTCCATCACACAAATTAATTCCTTTCCCATTTAGGCTTTGCCGTCAATAAAGTCAATGGGTCGTATCCGCCCGCGTTGTCATTTTGAATTCAAAATAGAATTAGTATTATGTTATTGAAATTAATATATTTTGTAAGGTTATGACATGCAAAAATGAACTGGCACAGTATACGTACATATATAAAAACATACATAAAGGTCCACATGAAATCCGCACCTGCATGGTTATACAAGTTATGCAAACAAAAACATAATAGCAGTATTACATTAAGTACACCTACACCTTCTGGCCTGTAATCTAATGGGGTCCTAGCTTTCCTCTGATCTTCTTACTGCCAGCCAGACATCACCCTGCTTCATTGAAGTAGTTCTACCATCTTGTATCATCTTCCTTTGATCTAGCATATAAATTTCACCTGAACTGAATCACGTCTAGAACTTCGTTAAATTAACAAATGAAGGGGAAAAAGAAAATTGAAAATATGGTAGTACATATCTATGTTAATCTTAATTTTGCTTCTGTGTCCTTCACATGTTTGAAGGAAGGTATGCAGGTATAACCCTCAAAAGGCCTACTAAAATACATGGAACATTCTGTTTCCTTTACAAATGCATGTAATTTTATTTAGCATGTACCTGTTTCCGACATCCACACTCAATTCGAAGTAACATAGTAATATGTTTTTAAGGTGAGTTCTTACCTCGTTTAATGTTGTCCATTTTGCAATGCGTTCCCTCTTGTTTCTCCTGCGGAGGTTTCAAGGAATTTTGTAAGCTCTTGATATGCAGCCTGTATGCATCTCTTTGACTGCCCCACATCCTTAGCAGCTTTTAGAAGATAAGTCTCAAGCTTCTCCATTTGACAGAGTGCATCCTTAATACAAGAAGCCGCTACATGGACTGACTGGAGATGATAACTTCCAGTGTTTGTTTTGGCTGTCAATGCTTCTGCATTGATGCTGGGTATATCATATGTACATTTCCCTATATTTTCTGGGTTTGAATTCACTGCATGATTGCAGTTATCTTGGAGAGTTGGCTCCATTCTTGCGGCTATAGATATACCCCGAATAGATTCCACCATACGCTCATCAAAAGGTCCGCAGTCAATCAATGGGCCAACCAAAGCTTCGAGAGTATCCTTTACTGCTGGTAACATGGTATTTTGATCAGGTGTATCCATTGACTCCAAATGAGTGAGCTGATCATTCTTTCCAACTTCCTCCAGTGTTGTACTTGTTACACCTTCCTCCTCCATAGGAGTGAAGGCTGTCTCGAGGTTCGAAGTCTCTGAAGGAACACCCAATGGTTTCATATCATATCCAAGAGCATTTTGTGGTTCATCGTCAACTTCATCATCTGCGAAAATGTTGAGAAGGAAATGTAAATAGTTGAGCTTCTACTATGGGGATATATATCTCAGAGACTATATAGGATCAAACAAAAGAAATATGTCGAAGAAGCTAAACTAGAGTTATGACTTGAGATTTGGAGGAAACAAATATATTTCTGTCGTTCCAAATCATTTAGGAATCATGTTGGACACACATATCTGGCACGTACATCCATTTCCAGCAGCAGATATTTGGTGAGCCTTAATATTCGGTAAGCCAGAATGCTGGGGACTTGGTGTTGATGGTCTTTTGTCTATCTTCGAAGACCATGAATTGGGAGAACTTGGAGGAGTATCGACTAGCAAGAAACCACAGGCTCCATGTCCCTGTGTAAAGAATGGTAGCGATCCATTATCAGTAAAAATAATCCGTTGTTTTGATTTGGTCGATTCTTGAATCATACTTGTTGACGACAACAACGTGGTTTTGTCAACCAGCGGTTTAATCGTTTGGCACTCGAGAAAACACTACCTTTTGGGGTTCCACCCGACAAAGGGAAAGATCCCTCAACAAGTAGTTTAATCGTTTGTATAATCATAGTGGAAAAAGGAAATATAACCCACGCACAAAGAAACAAAATCGGCAATTCAATTTCATAATTTCTATTCATGCAGTGGATCCAGTTTTTGTTTAAAAATGTTTTTTAAGAATTTTTTTCTTCAACAAAGAAATGTATGCAATAACCTTTAAAAGCAACTTTATCCATCTCCATTAAAGATGAGAACTTTAACAGAACCAAAAACCCAAACCTTGGAAAGAGAAGAACAGGGCAGCATACCGTTCTAATTCGGCAAGTATAGTAGTTGGTCTCCTTCCCATTTTCGTCTCTCAGGATATTAACGGTGCAGGCTCCGGCGTTGCACTGACACATGGGAGCCTTGACATCATCGCACCATTTGTAGAAGCTTCTGCCATGGGTGACATTGCCGCCGCATTTACAATTACGAGAATAGTATCTTTTTCCGGCGTTGGCGACGCTTTGGGCAACAAAGACGGTGCAAGCCACCCCGCAGTGGCAGCGCAGCACCGGCAGGAGGTGGTTGTCGACCGGAGATGGAGATTTTGCCTTTAGGTGGTTGGAAGGGCAATCCAGTGCCCAGTGACCTGGCTTTCCGCAAGTAAAGCATGCGCCTTTCTGCTGTCTTTCAGCCCAACTTTGCCTCTCAGATTGATCGGATGCCATTTTTTGCGGGCTTTTCTTACTTTAACAAAACTCAGTTTTTCGGTACATGAAATTATTGAAAGCTTTCGTCTTTCCTTTATAATTTGAAAAAAGAAAAAAGTTTAATAAATGACAAAGCATCGCTCGATCTTTTAGACTTTTCGTCGTTCCTCCCATCTTCTCATAAACACAATATTTAAATGCAACTTTACCTCGTAAAGTATATTATTTGTATTAAATTATCTCTTAAAGTATTTTAAGAGAATTTAAACTGTTATTTTATTTATCTCAAATTATTAATTCTGTTAAAAAAAGTATGGATAAATAAAATATATTTTTATGGTTATGTTTTCATCACCTAATTATTTTTTCTTTAAAAATAATCAAACTTAAATTTTATTTCATTTTAGTCAACTAATTCGATTTGATTTTTTTTAATTGTAACATATAATAATTCATTTATATCTCATATTTTTAACTAGGCATATAAATTTAATTTATAATAATAAATAATATTATAACGTAAATAATAAACAACGTATTAAATTGTTTGTATTTAAATTTTAATAAAAGAAATATTAAATGTTAAATTAAATTATCATAATATTTTAACAAATAAAAATATGAACGGGTCTTTATTCATTTATAAATGTATATGTTTAGTGAAATTTTAATCTCATATTTTGAATCAAACTAATTTTTAAATAAGTATATAGTATATTTATATAACATATAAAATCAACTTAATATATCCAAATTGCACATATAAAAAAATACAAGTTTTTTTTGGTGAAATAAAGGTAAAAAAAATACAAGTTTTAATTGCAATACCAGCACACAAAGAATAAGATTTTATATGTGCAATTTGGATATATTAAGATGATTTTATATGTAATATAAATGTATTTTATACTTATTTAAAATTAGTTTGATTCAAAATATGAGATTTAAATTTCACTGAACATATAAATTTATAAATGAATAAAGACACATTCTTATTTTTATTTTTTAAAATATTTATGATATTTTAATTTAACATTTAATATTTCTTTTATTAAAATTCAAGTACAAACAATTTAATATGTTATTTATTATTTACGTTATAATATTATTTATTATTATAAATTAAATTTATATGTCAAGTAGAAAATATGTGATATAAACGAATTTTTATATATTACAATTTTTTTAAAATAAATCAAATTGAATTAGGTGGCTAAAACAGAACAAAAATTTAAGTTTAATGATTATTTTTAGGGTAAACTACATAGATGATCATTAATGTTTAAGTAATTTTTACTTTCTCCACTAAAGTTTCAAAAGTAACAAATTGATCATTAATATTATCTATTTGTAATAAAATGGTCACTCCACCGTCATCCCCTTAAATTGATGACATGCCAATGTAAATAAAATTATTAATATTTAATTTTACTCTTAAACTATAGCCAAATTCTAAATAGGTCCTTGAACAATAATTTTATATCTAAAAACTCATCTTCTTGTATTGTAATCTAGCCAAGGTTTTCTCCTCCTTTCCTTTCCTTCTTTTTCATTTCTGGTTTTCCCCCCTAAAGACCCATGTTTAGATTGTGGATTTTCTCTCTTCATAGCGACTCAAGTCCCCTCATCGATAGTACGATGAATCCGCCAATACAGATTATCGCACTCGAATCAAAGTTCTTGGTTGCTTCTTGCAGCTCTGACATAAGGTTTACTTTGTATGTTGCAGTTTGGCTTATGAACTTTTGTTGGATTGTATTTGAAAGATATGATCTCCTCTAAAGAAATGACTATAATGGAAATGTCATCATTGTATCGCCAGCTATCTCCTTGTGGTATATCGAGTAACTCATGAAGGTCCATGTTTGTAATAAGCAACACCAAGTAGGTTGGATTTTAGTTCTTTTTTTGTATAATGTATAAATGAAGAACGTAGATTAAAAGGGAGATTGTTTTTCTGATAGTATCAACATTCTTTGCTGCTCGAACAGTACTTCCGACGAGATGTTGAGCAGGATCTCCTTCGAGTTGCATTGGGATGAAAAGTTCAACCTCAAATACGGTTTCCTCTTTTGTTAAGTACTCTTCATAGAGACTGTCGGATGATAATATCAAAAACATATATTTGGGACCTAATTTGTGGTGGTGGAGAGATGGAGCACAAGTTATATATGGAGAAGTTCTTCTGTAATCTATTCTGAACATCTCTAGCAATGCATCATTCCATTTAGGCTGGAATAGTTGAAACCCAAAACGAGAGTCATTACATATGGAATTAATTAGGAAACTTTTAAATATAATCCAACAAAAGTTCATAAGCCAAACTGCGACATACAAAGTGAACTTTAGGTTGAAGTTTCACTTTGGCAGAGTTACACGAAGCAACCAAGAAGCACCGGCAGGGGGTGGGTGTCGACCGGAGATGAAGATTTTGCCTTTCGGTGGTTGGAAGGGCAATCCAGTGCCCAGTGACCTGGCTTTCCGCAAGTAAAGCATGCGCCTTTCTGCTGTCTTTCAGCCCAACTTTGCCTCTCAGATTGATCGACTGCCATTTTTTGCAAGCTTTTCTTATTTTAACAAAACTCACTTTTTCAGTACATGAAATTATTGACGCGCAAAGCTTTCGTCTTTCCTTTATAATTTGAAAAGATAAAGGTTTAATAAAACGACAAAGCATTGCTCGATCTTTTAGACATTTAGGAAACCTTTAGTTCACGACAAATAATATTGTCAAGAGAAATATTTTTTTTAAAATTTTAAGTATTAGATAATTCTTATTACTTTAGATAAAAATACTTTTAGACTAATAATTTCTCTTTTTTACTATTTATGATGATATTTTCAACAAAAAAAAAATTACTCAAAATTATAAATATAATAATAATATAACAAATTTAATTTAATAAAATATAAATAAATATAAATATTTAAAATTATTTTTATATTTTCAATATTCAATATATTAAAATTTTATAATTTTATGAGGTGAAAAATAATATGATTATAAAAATATAATTATTTAAAATAATATTTAATTTTAAGTTATTAAAAAATAGATCTTATACACTAAAAATTAATATATTTATCTACTCGAGATCATAATATTATTTTTTCATATTATATTATATTTTATATAAATAAATATGATGTTTATGAAAATTATTTAAAATTATAAGTTTAATATATCAATTATATATTAAATATAATTTTTCATCAAAAGTTAAATAGTATAATGATTAAAATATTTCTATGAATTTTCATTCAAGTATTTATAATTTAATATTAAATTTTAATTTTATAAAAAAATATATCACAACGATAATTTGATAAAATATACATTTAATTAATCTTATATTATTCTAATTAAACATTATAATTTATATTCGTACTAAATAAACCAAATAAAATAATACATTATTCATATAGTAATATTACATTCTAATAATATTATTTTTACCTTCAACCAACAGGGGTTGATTCAAGTGATGAGTAGCTTGATATCACTTAAGTAATATCTCAAGTTTAAATTTTTGTGTATGTAAAAAATCTATGCTCCGAGATTCAATCACTAAAATCAAGTTGAATGTTGAAACGAAGAGAATGACTAAAAACAATATTATTCTTACCTTCAAGATTCTCTTGATCATTACTTTAATCTTCTGTCGAACAAAATATTTCCTTGAAAAAATGAACCTATTTTGTTAAGACTTCTGCCACTGCCAGAGCATTTCTCGGGCTTTTGGTCGCTACTTCCATTATTTTTCGGTTCTCCTCACAGACGCACTCTCTTCAAAAAAAAATGAACCTTTTTGTAAAGGCGCACTCTCTTTAGAAAAATGAACCATTTTGCAAAGGCTTTCTTTTACTTTTATAAATACGTTAAAAAATGAACTTACTATTTAATTATCCATTTATTCTTATTTTTATTTTACTCATTCAATTTTTAAATTATACTTGATATTATATTATATTTATATTTTAATCATTTATAATTAAATTTGATAATATTTTTACCATCCAGCTCAGTTAGTAGAGCACAAAGTTCTTAACCTTGAGGTCGTGGGATCGAGTCCCATGGAGTACATTTCATAATTCGGAGGTCTCCTACGGAAGCTGCTCTCAACTTAGTGTTGGGGCAGCATACTATCTTATCTCCCCTTACCCTATTACATATGGGAACAAGGGATAGCCATTTTGATAATATTTTTAATTAGGTTAAGGTAATTACAAAATATTATTTGTTCTAAATATACTTTCAATTATTTGACAATAAACGTCCAAACACCTTGCTATAATCGTTGATGCTAGAACTCAAGACATATAGAAATAATGAAGTAAATTGGTCTGTGACATTAAATTTGACAATTGATTTAACAAAAAAGATGATGTGATATATAATAATAATAATTTAAATTTAAAAATTAAACATTTTATTAAATTAAATTAAAAAATTTAATAAATATTTAGTAATTTTTAAAAATATATCAAATTAAGCTTATTTTAATTTGAAATTTTAATATAATAATAATTTCAAATAAAAATAAATATTATTATCCAAAAAATGCAAAACACAACATATTTTTTAATTTCTTTTTAAATGTGTATAAAGGAAAATAATAAAGATATTAGTATTAATTTTTTTCCAACATTTTTTAGGAGTTACTACCAAAAAAATACCCCTAGACCCAATAATTACCTGCCAAACACTATATCTCTTAATATTATTGATCTAGCACCATTTCTAACATAGTGGTAATAAAGCGTGGATCGTCAACCGCGCATTCGCAGGGTTTTGTCTAAGCTGACACCACACAAAGAAAGGCACAGAATCCCTTGAAGAGGTCGCGATATCTCTATGACACGAAGTAATTCATGGGTTATAGAGAAGCTTGTTACAAACATTCCATTTTATGCAACAATTTTTTTTTGTAGATTTACAATTACTCTCAGGTGACAGACATTATTGTTTTCCTCAAATACATTAAAATTTTAAGTATTAGATAATTCTTATTACTTCATATAAGAATACTTTTAGACTAATAATTTCTCTTTTTTACTATTTATAA